GATTTTCATGGCATTGCCAAAGACCTTGAATCAGCATGTTGCTCGTGCCGATATTTTCTGGTAAACATCAAAACGGTTGCGATGAGGCAAACGGCACATACAAGGGCCAGACCCATGATACCGACTGCTAAGCCAGAGCCTGAAAATAGAAAAAGAACAAAATAATTATGTTAACGCTGTTGTTGTTGTTTTGCTGTTGTGCTTGCATGAATTATGGAATATTAGCGCGTCAATTGCTAAGTAGAGTTGGCAATAAAACAATAATTATGGAACAGTGCGTTTTGTCAACTTCACTGGGTATAGTGTCGTGCTTTTATCTATTTAATCTATGTTTTGTTATTATTTTCTTTTGTAGCTTAACACTTTTAACTCACTCTACCTATCATCTTGGTGTTATTTTGGGATCATCGAGTTTTGGTTTTCTGATTTCACAGAAAGTACACAGAAAATACAATCCAAGATTGCACATGCAAGATGGCAGAATACATCACTTGATATCCCATCATGTGATACTACAAGCAACCATCAGGCTACTTGTTTATTTGGTAACGCTTTCAAACTGTGATTTAACACGAAAATACGACCGGAATAACTGGATGAATTCGTTTTTGTTGGTGTGAATTTGCACCATGTATGAGGGATATAAATCGCTTCGCAAACCGACTTGTGCGAAATGTACTAACCATTCTTGTTACATGTACACGATTCAGCTCTGTCCAAATCTCGCTTCCTGCGCACCAAATGGACAGGACCCTGTCCAAGTGAGTACCCATCGATCAAGTCATCATGAACTTCACGCTTTCTAAGTCTACCATTCGATGATGGGCATGTCTTCCTGCACTCAGACAAGGAGTCATTCCTGTCACAGATTACCACGTGACAGTGTATGAAGACAAAAGGGTGATTGCCAGTAAACTGAAATGCAGTAGTTGTGAACCGCTGGGCACTTTCCGAGTTGGTGGATAGGAAAGCGGTACTTTCATCAGCTGGGCATCTGTTGGTAATAACATTTATGGGCTACTTATTGAGCTTGTTCGTTGTAAATGGGTTGATATTTGGCCAAGTTCCTTTTCGCGAGTTTATGGTCTGACAGGCAAACCCGAGACATAAAGACGAATCAAAACAGCAGCGAAAAAATGGAGACCAATGTCGAGCCATCTTGACCGAGCAAATTTATTCACCGAAGGGCTATTTCAAATGGCAGAAAGAACACTATTTTCTAGTGGGTAATAAGGGACAATTAATCCCGAGCGAGCAGGATAGTTCTATCTTGCCCTCTTGGGTGGCAGATAGCGGAGCAGGATTTGGTTCATCTTGCCTGCAAGAGAAGCTAGCCTTATTATGAATATAACTTCCTGAATATGTATTTCATGGTTGCCGGAACTAAACTTTAAGAAAGAAAAATCTTTTCGAAATTGTGAATTACTAAGCTAACCGTTTGGGTACTAAACATGCCCAAGGCGCGCATGGGACCTTCGACCGCTTCTGACCACTTCTTACGAATCATGTCTGAACGAGCACAAACATAAAATTCGACTGGGACAAATGAAGGTAAAGGCAAAAATAGAGCCGTCCTGTGAAATTTGAATGAATTTCGATTTCCCTTCCCTCAACAACATTGACATTTTGAGGTTTAGACTGAAACCCTTGCAACGCCCACAAAGATGACTGAGGAGCTAACAAACAAATAACGAAAGTAGGAGACATGGAAAGCGTAGAACGTCAGAATAATAATAACGAGAACAATTAAACTCTGATCTGGCCTAAGAAAAACATGATGTGTGCACTTATTCCAAGATTGGATATGAAAGCGCTTGACTTGAGGTCGAAGAAAATGTTACTTTATATTTTTTGTTTTTCAGCGGCAAAGCGCATTTTGTGTCTAGTTGGGCAACCATGATAACGCCTTTTGGAATGATGTCCCAATATACTTTGCTTACCCGTTTTGAATGAAATTGTATTCTACAGAACCACTGTGATGTTGTGTTGGCGTGGCATAACAGCGATGAGCGGCGATTGACAACTGACTGTCACCAGTTAATACAGACACCTCAAAGAACAGGGGCTGTTGGAGTTCTGCCGCAACTGGCATGTCCTTGTGAGAGTAAGGAGTTGCAAAGTCCCTGTTCGGAAACATATTCAAGGTGATGGTGAAATTCCCTCGACCTTCAACGTTAAAGTCGACAGCGTTACTTTCAGGTTTCCAACCAGATGAGGACACCATGCCAGACTTGGAGTACTGGCAACTGAATGGAATCTGCACCTGCTTTTTGCGCGTTACAGCCCCATTTATGACTATGTCTGACGGGATTTCAAGGACTTTGTTAGAGTATATTAAAGAAGTGGGAGTTTCACTGGCTGATGTGAGACAACCATCAAGCGGTGTTGTAAGTGAAAAATGAGTGGTTGACTCTGCCGCCGAACAGGAGGAATTCCGGAGTCGGAGATGTCTGCGGTCAACCCCGGGAAGAAGTGCTTTTGCTACCACGACAGTCATGTATTGGTTTTCACAGTGAACAGTTACCTCGGGAGCTGGAAAAATATATATATATTTGTATGATTTCACACTGTGCAAAACATTTCCAACGGTTAAGAAGCTTTTCTTTTTAATATCATGATCTAGAAATATTGCTATTATTGTTAGCTCGTTCTTTTTATTTTTGCTTGTGAGAGAGAGGTTCGAATTGTGTGGCGTTATTTAGGTCAAGTGGTACCAACAACGCTCAGGAAGAACATCATGACTGTACATGTTGATGTATCCAGAGAAAATGAGGAAGAGAGCATAATCCTTCACACATGGGCTTTTTCGGATGAATTATATTTCAAATCTGTTGTTAATCCTGTTTCAAACTACATGGTATTTTGGTGTTGACAACTGATTGGTAAGTTACTGAAGTCATGTACTTCAGTGATCACTTCAGTAGTCATGTATTGTTAAGGGAGACCTTTGAATCATGGGAACGAATTAAAAATAGGACGGCACAGACTATAAATGTATTTCAAACTACCTTCGTGAGGTACAGGGATATGCTCTCCTTATTTTCCCATTTTAACACTGTTACCAACTCGACTGCTGTCAAATTCACACATTCTGTAAAGATCTTGATATGTTTCGTTGACGTACCTCGAGTTTTTTCTATCCTTGTACATTTTGCGTCTTGTCTGAGTAAGGGGTTCCGTTTGTGAGATGGGGCTTTTGAATCTGACTAAGCTTTCAGTTTTTTTCGCGGCTCGGTGGATGTTTTAGTTTCCACAACTGTTTACGACTGTTTGGTAATTTTCAGTTATTTTTAAACGTCTGAAAAACCATTCAGTTTTAAAATTAGTGTGGTAATGTTTACTTTCCATAACGTATGGCAAGTTTCGGTTTCACTTTTTGACGGCGAATTTTTGAAAGTTTTGTTTTATATCTCTGTGAAGAGTTTCAGTTCACCTCAGCCCTTAACATTTCAGCCGTTTGCTTATAACACCATCAAGTATGATGTCAAACCTTTGGATGACGTGGACCTTCTTTTTCATTGGAGCTCTTATTCATAACAGCCAACATGACGTTATCAATGATTACACTTTACAGTGTATTTTAATCACTCTCATCTAATAGGAAACATTTCTTACTTACCCCAGAGCTTGATTTCAAATCTTTTGGTGCTGCAGTGACCGTAACCATTTCTTGCTCTACAGGTGTAGTTACCAAGTTTTTCGTCCGTCAGCGCACCAACCATTAATGTGCACCTCATTCGTGAGGCTGCTGGAGATCCAGCGTAGCATTTATCTCCGACTCGTTTATCTTGAGGATCAAACCATTCAATTATATGTGGTTTTGTCTTTGGACTCTTTGCCATGTCATCAGTCTGCCACGCAGTACAAGTCAAATTAATGGTTGTGCCAATCGCCAGTTTGCTCGATGACGGAGTCGAGGAGATTTTAATCTTAGGTTCAGCTGAAGGAAAATACATACGCAGGCTAACTTAGGTCAAAATCTGCCGGAGTCTGGTTTTCTCTCTCGGTTTAAGCCTTGCCCGTTGCTTAGTTCTCTCTCGGCTCTTTTTTCGCGAAACGGATTAAGCATTATGGCTGAGCCGAGGGGCTGGGATTTATCACGATTTAACCACAAACAGCTTCTGGGCATAACTGACACTAGGTACATGTAATTCCAATTTTAAACTTGGCGAGTTTTGACAAGTATCAGTCAAAGAAATGGCCAATGAATGCCTTGGAACCCAATATCGTTCCTTCCTCCTTCTTTGCAACTCCCTCCCAAGGCATGCCCTTAGATATGTAATTGCATTCTTCTTCTTTCTCGATATTACTGGAATTCTGATAAACGTACCATTTACAGTGTTACAATACTGACACCAGGCAGCTGGAAGACTCGACAGACCACTGATAACAAGTAACAACAGGGAATACTCTGTCCCGCAAACCAGAAAAGAAATGCTAGCCATCGATCATCAAACGTCTACATATATAAACCGTTCTTGCGGAAATTATATGAAATTTCAAACTGTCAAGATAGCAAAAAAGAAAGATATAGAATCAAAATACCATTAACTTACTTAGCTTGCTTAAAATCAATAACCTGAAACTTGAAGGTATTTGTACAGCCGTGGCCCTAGTACAATATCACGAAAAAGTAAACTGGTCCCATGAATGAAAGCAACCTATCCACGAGAACAAGAACAAGCATTGACATGTGAAGCCATTGAAACTGCAAACGTTAGAAATATGGACCCCACCTTAAACTCTGGATAAATTTGCGACAACGTTACTTAAGCTCTTAACGTCCTAAAATCATGTGCAAAAAAAGACTATTCGGCCAAGTTACCTCAGTGCAATAAGCTCGGCCGTTTAACTCTCTCGTGCATACATTTAACAAAGAATGATACTTCTATAAAATCCATAACGCACATGATAATCAATAATATAATACTCGTGGCTAGAACACATTTAAGAATGTATATTTACCTTAAATTGGTCCTACAGTCCTCTCTACCAACTTTCTCACAGAATTTATAGATCAGTACATCTTGTCATCACAATTTTATATGCTATGCACCGGAAAGAGAAAAAAAAGTCACATATAGCATCATTTTGGTTTTTTTTTTTAATCTTATTTTTCATGTTTCATTATTAGGGTCTGCACAACAACCGATAAAAACCTTTAGTTAGAAATTTCAGTTGTCATAAATATAAACGTAAATCCTGAGTCAAAAGTTTTAAATAATATCGAGAAGAAAAAATTGTTCATTGAAATATGATTAAACTTTCCTTGACAATAATTCCGCATAAGTCATGCATACAGTTTTTCGTTCACAAAATGGATAGAGTTTTGATGGAATTGTATTGGAGAATAAATATGCCCACTCACGTGACCGAAGTTTTGAACAAGGATTGGCCAATGGTTTCCGACGACGATACTCATCATGTTTTTCATGAACTTTGGGGACTAGGGTTATTTTCGGAATTTTCTAGGTTTCAGCTTCGTAGCTCATTGATCATGATTGTTTGCAGTCATTCTGCGAGTCCCGTGGTTCAAGTACCCGCAAGGGCCACAGATATAGCTTTTGTCTCAAAAGTTGTTTGTCTTTGTCCTTTAATAGTTCTTAATTCTAGAACAATAGCTGCCATCGGTAGTCATGTTTGGGTTTGCCAAGGCTTTGCCTAGGTCCTCTAATAAATTTCCTTTTTATGCGTCGATTCTCGACGGGAGAATATTTTATTAATGATATCAAGTGCTTTGCTGTTCATTTGTGGGAGTCCCATTAAAGTTTTTTGATTAGCATCCTGTAAAGATGATTAATCCTTCAGATCAGTCGTCCCGTACGCCCACACATGCCTACCGATAAGGTATTTAAGAACGTGTGCATTTCTTACCCAATCAGAAGATTATTGTGCAAGTCAGAAAATGGAAAAATGACATGAAACAATGGAAAAAGCAAATGAAAACAAGATTCCTCCTTCCTCTTGTACGATTTAATACATTGTTGGTAATTTCTTAAAAATGGCTAATTTAATATTTTTGAAAAATGCTCCGAAAAACCCAGAAAGTTGCTTTTAATTATTTTGTTGCTTCCTGTGTCATTTTTGTCGAAGCCAATTAAAAAAAAAAAAAACATTTCAGGCCCCGTCCACACTATGCCGGAGAAATTTGAAAACGGAGGTTTGACTCTGAAAACGCATATTTCATATATATTAGAAACAATGAAGGGCGTGCAAATTTTAAAGAATGCTAGCTTTGAAGTTGCCCAGAATGCAAAAAGTTCAGTGCTGAGAGCGATCGGAAAATATGCTCGAAATATTAAAAGTTGCTTTAAACTTTGAGTACAACATTAACAAAATTGATTAGGGTTATCGGAATTGTAATTCCTTTTCCCTTTTTCTTCAAAATAGCACCGATTTAAGGAAGGCGATCCGAGATTTTTGCGTGGCCTAATTTCTGGAGTAGAAAAATCCAAGTCAAGTTCCGAAATAGAAACCAGTACTCAAACTTCGTTAAAGAGCGGAAAAGAGGGGCGGGGTTTGATGGCTAGAAAGACCATAATTCTGCGCGCACTAAAATATGAACTTGATGCACGGGAACATGTACATGAAAAGGAGCAAGCCCTAGGGAATAGGGGCTACTGTGAGCTAGTTATTTTTGTTTTAGCTCCCAACTCAAATACGTTTTCCGACTGGAGGGGAACGTTTCACGTGTCACTAACTTCTTAGGGTGAGCAAAACTCACTAACTCTCTAGGGGGCTGAGGGTCTCGAGGAAAAAAATCACTGTTTCCCTTGGGACGTGTCATTTAGTGCTTAGTAACAAGTTGATTATTTGAATGCGTGAAGGAATTTTGATAGACTGGCAAACTATTAAAAAAAGATTGAGAGCATACTAGATGCTCACATTCGCCTCAGAAGTGTAAGCGTTTATTCCCAGCAAATGTTTTGATTTGGACATCTCCTCTGAATATCGTTATTTTTCAAGACATCGTTTAATTATACCATGTTTCTACAGTTATCTCTCAGTTAAAAGCTACACTGACCACTTACCTTACGCGGCATGCAGATGAACACAAAGAGTGTAAGAGTATGACTTACTTTTAATAAATCTACTTTGATTAAATTATGAATTTTTTTCTTCTAGTCCCAGGGTACTAGCTAAACATTTTATTATGCCTTTATCAAAAGTGAGAACAAGGCAAAAAAACTGGACTGTGCGAGGTTTTACACGGACGGTTGTATTTAATTATGAAACAGCAGTGTGTATGATTTGAACTTCTGACTACGTGAATAAAATCATGTTGCGAAAAAGGAAAGCAAGTAGAATAATTAGTCTAATCGCTTTTCAGGAAAATCCAGGCAATGACATAATTTTTGGAGGTTTAAACTGTCAGAAAATATTTCAGTTTTTATGAAGAATTTTCCAGTACTTTCAGTTGCTGTGGTCATATACCTGTAATTACATAATTGAACGTATTTGGGAAATAATGGAAAACGAAAGACGACTCTAAAATTCTAGAATACCTGCAATCTTCACAAAAAAATAATACAGATTAGTAAATTTATAAACTTTACTTGAAATATTATTAATCAAAGTAAAATAATTTTCCAAAAAAAAAAAAAATATAGACTAAACAGTTGATTCTCTTTCTTCAAAAATTGCTTCCCCACTAAAAATGAGACTGGGTCTTCGCAATGATGGTAGAGGACCTTTAAAATTATTACTGTCTAAAGATTTTAGGTGCAGATAAATTTCTTCGCATTTGACTTTGTTTTCAGTTTTAAAACCATGGAGGTCTACGGAAAGCCTCCTTTTTTTCCTTTAAAAGCACGTTTAACTGTAAGGTAAGCAATGAATATTTTTAGAAACGTTAAATTTCTCAGAATTTCTATGTAATCCACTACGTCATTCTATTTCACATTCTGAGAGCGCTTTACTTAATATGGGATAAGAAGCCCGATAAAAAGGGGAACAGTCCTCAACAACTTTAAACCCTTGTAGATTGAGAGAACTGTGCTTTACCTGTAACACCCTGATATCAACTGCTATTAGCCATGGAGAACACCAAGATGTGTCCTTTAATCTTTGCTCTCGCTGTGATGTCGTCTTGTTTAATGGTTACTTGGTGCCAGTCTTGCGGAACAAAAGCGTATGGAGGTAAGAAAAACTCAACTAAGGAGTGGGCTCATCCTTTTCTTCAATCTCTTTTTTCAACACCTCGACTTTAATGAAACCTATAAAAAATGCCTCGAATCCCTGTTTTAAGGAAACCAGGACACCATTATGTCTATGAAATGAGCAGCTTGTTCACCATCTCTCAATTCTTGAAAGGAAACTCGAAAGATAACTTTTTATTCAACAAGTGTTTTGCTGGTTCTTGATGTTCCATGCTTGTATAGGTTCGGTAACCTAGTATTACGAGCCGATCTATCTCTAACTCTGTCTTTAAATAGTGCTCGTGATTAATACTGTTCAGAGTCATCCATGAGTATCAAAATTCAGGAAAAAAAAAGTGGAAAAGGGTTAGATAGAAAACTAAGCATATTGGCAGAAAATTAACCAAAGAATCCTCCTCTCTTTTACAAGTTGCTATGAGTCACGAGCTCGTATCAATATGATGCTAAACTATTCTTTAGGAACATTCACACATTACTGTGTGGTTAAATGCGTTAAGAAAGTCTACTTTGTTACATGGCAGGTTCACCACAACTGGAATTCTACGCCACTAAACTGGGAGAGCCCTCTCGTCCTCAAGATACGAATCGTTTCTTTAATTCTGTCACTGTTCATCGAGGCTCGAGCATCACTTTAACATGTACTGCAACAGAACCGCTTGGTTTCCCATCGAGGCTTGAACCTTATTTACGGCCATATGTCATAAATTGGTTCGTGAATTCGTCCACGATCCAGGTATCAAATTGTGACGAGAAGCCCCGCAAAACGAAAACATGCTTGCTGTCATTGGTCAATGTCAAACCACGTGACAATGGAAAGTACTTCTGCCAGGCAGCCAACGAACTCGGATGCACCTACAAGCAGCTGCACCTAAAAGTCACTGACGGTGAGAAACTCTTCACATCCACATGACAAAACCGGGATGACACGAGTAAAATTGCATGCAAATTTTGAGACCTGATGTCATTGTTAAGTGTGAGATTTTTATGATTGTTTTATAAATTTTTCCAACCACCATTGAAATTTATGCAGTATTAAAATTAGAATTTTTTTTTCGATGGACCAAGTCACGTGTCACGAGCAAAAGCATCCGAACGAGGTTGGGGTGCAGGTTTTCTTATATATATCTCTTTTATTTTGTCCACTCTGACTTCCGCACGGCGCCATAGTTCGTTGGGATGCGGGAAATGTCTTAGCAACGTCACTTTTAATGGATATTTAACTGATAAGTTTGCGAGACGGTGATTTGAATTTCTTCTCCGTTTCAGGTGAACGTCCTGATCTTAGGATTGGCAGAATTGTTAGTCGCCAAGGAAATATTTCCAAGAAGTTCAAACTGAGAGCCTGATGGTTTTTCCTCTTTTTCTTAACACTTTCATTTGATGGGGCATTTTGTAAACCTTAAAATAATTTTTGGTATATTAAACTGTAGTACTAAATGCAATGTCTTGCTACCGCCTTTGCTCGTTTTTATTTCGTTTTGTTCAGTTTTCCTGTTTGAAGCCATATAATGTATGTACGCGCGAACGTTTTTGGCAAGAAATAATTTGAGAGAAATGAGGTGCCCGTGGTAGCTCTCTGTTAAACCATCAAATTAGGGATTTCTTATTTCTGGCTTCTTTAATATCCCCTCATAAATTTCTTTATCCGGAATGTCATCAAACAGTGCAATATGAAATACCAGAATGAAATAAATTCACCTTATCTCTTGGTTTAACATGCAATATTCGCGTATATTTTGCGAGTTACGCAGTAAACTACGAGAAATGACAAAAATCTCGGCTCGTAATATTTGTGAAACCATCGAATATGGAATTTATTATCCATTATTATGTAATTTTCTAGTATGCCAGCTCCTAGTTTTTGAAATACATCCTGCATCATCCGAAAATTGTACCGATCGCATAAGGTGCGTGGGATTAACGAAAGCAAAATACGTCTTGACCTATTATGGTAAAATGACGTAATATTGTCTACGAGACCTATTGCGTGTCTACGAGAGGTATTGTCAAATGACATAATATTGCAGCAACGAAACTGTACATTCATTGGCGATTTTCAGTTTTCTTCCTTGCTCTAAAGGAGAGCGCTTTGTTGTAAATGGCGCATCTTCGGAAAAATATCAATAATAATAGGGGATTGTTCAGCTTTATCACGTGTTTACACATAGCATTAAATATCACGAAAACCGAGTTGCTCAAGCCTCTTCATCAAGGCCACGCCTGGTGCTTAACCATTCATATGAAAATGAGTTTAATTTGCCTGTGGATGAAGACTCGTTCTCATATGGAAGTATGGACATCAAGACTCACTTTGGGAAAGAAGCTTAAGGTAGGAGTGATGAAGTTTTTACTCGTTTGTCTCACGATGGAGTTACTTTAAGATGTAGATCGCGAAGTTTCGACTGCTATACTGCTAGTCTTCATCAGGCGATGCGGTCAATAGGCCCTTTGCACGATCCGGTCACATGAAACGAAATTAACTACGCTGGGACGTAAGTTACATAGTGGAACTTCTAAAACAAAGGATCTCGTACCAGTTCAGCCCGACTTTCCTTTGTTTTGAAAGTCCCACTGTGTCACTTGCGTCCCAGCATAATTAATTCCGTACCATGTGACCGGTTCGTGCAAAGGGCCTATTGTTGCGTGTCGCTATTTTTAGCACCTTGGTTCGCTGCTATTGGTTCTTGGTTAGCTGTTGCTCTTGTTGTGTTCATGAGCTTCTGTACAAATGAGGAAGGATATCCATTAGAAAAATGACATGAACGTGAGAGAGACATACGGTTTGCTCGTACATAAACCTCCGAGATAACAGAATACGCCAGCGAGGCGGGGCATTTACCCATTTGAGTCAAAGTCAAGTTTATTGATCGTGACCCTCACTGGTACACACGAAGGGTCAAGGAAGCTATCCATGTAAGANTCTCCCTCAACCCTCCTCCCCCTTAGGCTACATCTGGATAAGGGCCTGTCAGCGATTAAGAAACTAACAACATTTTGAAACCTCGGATGCAAACTTCGAAGGTGCTAACACCAAAAAGTAGGGTGTTGGAATCTGTCCCTACATGGGGAGGGGACGGGTGCATATAAAAATGGACTGTCCCTCCATGTGTGAATTTTTTCCAATAAATTCTCCGTCTCTGGATTGACACCACCAACTTTATAGTCTATGTGATTTTGGAAAATTTTATCGCAGTTTTGACAAAAGTAGCAGCAGTGTAACAAATCAAACCCACTTCCCCAGCCACCCCTTTTGGTTTCGCGAAAATTTTCGTTTTGTGGTGGAAAAGGTGGAAAACAAAAAATCTTTAAAACGGAGTCTACTCACCTCTAAATCAACCCAAATCAGTCTCCGGCTTGCCATGTTCACATTAGTAGATATTTTATGGGACAAATTCCTGATGAAGTTATTATTTTTCGCTAAAAATCGCCGACGGAAAGCGAGCGAGATTAACAGCGGGAAATTCATGCAGAAGTAGTAATTATCTCCAGGCGTTACTTGTCTCTCTAAAATACCCAGAAAGCCTAAGACCAAGTCTAGCTTCAGTCCCTTCGGCCGAGACCAAAAATCACCAGGCTGCTAAGCTGTGAAAGAATGCTAAGAATGTTTTCACAAGTGCAAAAATCCCAAACCACAACTGAGACTTCAATATTGAAGCCGATAAACTATTGTTTTCCACATTGCTGGCGTCCTACAGATGCCGAGTACTTATCCTTTACAACATAATTTAAATGTCACTTGAAGCAGCTGCGCAGAGACCAAGTTCTTCGTCGTCCAAAGAGCATCTTCATTCAAGCGAGAGAGAGGCCTCGTCGAGACTCGCAGCGCGTTTGGAACGATCCGTGAACAAGAGATCGCGCGGAAAACAGCGGTTAAATTACCATGATTCTTCTGGCCCAAGCCGCAGACAGGAACGGCATCGTGACTTCGGCCAGAAGATTAATATGGAGAAAGGAAATCGCAGGGATCGTCGCGAAAACGAGTAAGTTTAGCTGCATGATTAATGTTTTACAGACAAATCGTGTCCATTATTGCCCCATGATGTGTGTTGACATCAACACAGCTGATAAGCACTCCAGTTGATTACCCACAAAGATTTACTTCCCACTAAAAGCTTTCGCTTTCAATCGCTAAAATATCATTCCTAAAAATATGCTGTCGATCAACCCGCCCAGCAGTATCAGTGCCGACTTACTTTATTAGAATTTATTTTTGAGCTGTGAAAAATGATATGAAGCTTAAACGTCTTAAATACACTGTGCGTGGTAAGCTACTTGTAGATCGTCGTCTTCTCGTGAACATATTTATTGTAAAAACAAACTGACAATTTTTTTCCTTAAATCTTGTTTTCATTTCACCGTTTTAACTGATAAAGTCTGTTGGCTGACTGTATTTCCCATGCCAGCGATACAGATCGAATATAAGCAACAGTGCCGACCCCGACTAATATTATTATAAATACACACTTAATGTGGCGTCAACACTCACCATTCATACCAATGGTTATCAGTCACTTCCTTTGTTAGACAATGCCCTATTGATTACTCACTTTTGATATTGTATACACCTTGTCTGAACTTATCATGCACGGCACGTTCAAACAATCTACTGAACAATGATTTCCAAGGCAGAATTTAAGCTTAACATTCATTAATTTCCTGATTACTAATTTTTTAAGGACCGAGACATATTCGTTTACTGGTAAATGCAAGGAATTTATTTCAATTCAGTCATAATCCAGTGTTAAAAATCTGTGAAACAATCGGTTTATGTACAGTCCGATATTTACAAGATCTTTGATTTCATTTCTGATGAAATTGTATTAACAGTTTCAATCGGCCTTTTCATGTATGCTTATTGCATTAGGCAATTCTAATTATATTTCACATCTCAATTGAGTTATTTTTTATTCAAATTATTGAATGTAGTTCAGGTCACCCCAAAACTTGTAGAAATCTCTCTGAATCTGCTCAAAAACATGAGTCTTTCATTGGAATCAAATCCAGTAAACATCAGCTACATTTCTGTTACCTGATCCGTTGATACTGATAACACTATAAAGTGTGGGTGGGGTAGTGTTTGTGATGAGGTTGGGGTTAGGGCTCATCTATAAAATCAATACTACTAATTAGCCTTGACTTTGATAACAGTACTTGTAGTCAGGCAAAGTGTGGGCAAGTTTGAGCAAGGCTGTTATCCCATTGTGTGACAAGAAGGCAATACAAAGCAATATACTAATTATGTCAAAACATGTTTCTGTGGATCGTTGGTTGAACAAGACATGTGGAATGAGCAGAGAATGTAATACAAAAACAGAAGGCAGTGCTATGTTTTACCATGATCCAAGGTACAACCAAAAAAAGAATAACAGTTGTAATCTGAACTGAACAAGAGAATAAGATAGCCATTGATTAGTAGTGTGATGACTTGGGCTCAACGTCGCATTCACTCATGTTCCAAAAGCTTTGTTTTCTCAAATCATAATTATTGATATACAACTCATATGAGGATTGCTGATTTTCTGCTTGAAGTTGTCTTCTTTGAACATGTCTCTCAAAAAATGTCTTTGCTTATTCAGTGAATTATTTTGACCTTTGGCATGATCAGTGAGCACATACAGTGAAACCTGTATCACGTGGAGCCCATATTAAGCAGACACTCTCTATTAAGTGCACACCAGCTGAAGTCCCAAAATTTTCTTCCTACATTTACCATAAAATAAACCGGCATTTAGCAGGCACCTCTGTTAAGCGGATGCAGACACCAACATTAAGCCATTTTGTTGCACAAAACCTGCAATAAGCGGACACTTCAAGGGCTTTTTACTTCTGAAGGTTCAGCTGAGACTCCTTTAACATTGTTCAGCGATGTCGTTCTAGAGCTAAGTGATTATTTCAGATTGATGCATTCAATGACTGACTAGACATTGTGCTATGCTAGTCTTTGATCCTACACTGTGTTACAAAAGCGTTAATAATTAACTATTATTGCACAACATATTAGAACCTGTTTTGAGCGGACACCCTGTATTACTTGGACACTAGTCAGGTTCCCAAGGGTGTCTGCTTAATACAGGTTTCACTGTATCTAGAATGAAAAATCAATTATGGAGGCCAGCTTCATAGTTGTTAATTTATTCCAGAAATATTAGTGTTAAAATCACTAGTATGGAGGTTTTGACCATATTAAAATTACAGATACTTTTTTGTAAATGCTATTGATACCATGGCCAGGAGCAATGAGTATTAACAGCCAATCATATTGCAGTGTAACCAAGGCCACCCACACAATTAGTTTGAAAATTGACCAGTAGCATTTACATGTTGAAACAAAAATTGGTTGCCTTCATTGTTTCTGTAGGGTACAGATTGCTTGTATCAATAACTTGTGGAAAATCTAAATTTTTTTTTCAATTTGCACAGAATATTGTTGAATTTTTATGGGCCTTGGTTGGAGTAGTCACAGTGTAAATACAGTAGCATCCACTTTTTCTGGCCCCAGTTGTTAAATCACTATCCAGTGGATAGCGTGGTTTGTTTTGTCAACACTTATCCACTGGGTAGTGAGTTATCTGGTGGATAGTGTTATCCACCCTTTGAACAACTGGGACCAGAACAGTACACAGGGAAATAAACACTTACACGGAGCGAGCTAACTGTTTAAGTTTGGAGTTATGGGTGACCTGTTGGGGCAGGCTTTTGTAACATGAAAGCTGTGTTTTTAAATGAAAACTGTAAATAGAAATATTCAAGTTCTGAACACCAAAATGGGATCTTTGGTGGAAGGTGGGTGAAATTGAGAAACAGGAGGTTGTCATGTGCAGTTCCAAAAAATATCCATACTCCCCCCACAGAAGGGATAGGGGTTTCCTGGGGGGTAGGGGTTCTGTAAGACCAAACAATAAAAAGAAATGTGTGAAGCTTAATTGGAATTTTCAGAGGGATAGAGGGTCTTAGAAAAAATTCCTTTGGAGGGAGAGGTATGGATATTTTCTGGAACTATACAATGAGATAATGTATAGATTTAGGCCAGCCTAAAAGCGTAGCTCCTGGGCCGGGTTGTTCAGAGCCCGATTAAGCTAACCCAGACAAATGTAGAATTTTGATTTCATGTAACTTTGCAGTGAGGTTTTCTGTATATTGTTTGGCCTTCTGTTTTGAGTTTTAATAATCATCATATACACAAAACAAAGCAGAAAAAAGAACATTTGTATAGAAGAAAAAGTTATAATTCGATTAACTTTTAATCCTGGGTTAGCGTTAACTGGCTTCCGAACAATCCTGCCCTGTTTTCACGTGACCTCGATGACCTGTAAACTTGAGCCCGCGATATGGTCACGTGATACTGGTCAGCGGATACCTTGTTTTGGCAGGTGCCAATTGATGATAACATGGATGTCCAATATCAAAGAAGTACACTGTTAACCAAGGCTGCATGTCTCTGTCAACCTATTATTTGGAGCATGGCCGCCATGTTGCGCGACTCCGTCGTCGTCGTAGTCGCCACCGTCGTGCGTACGCGCCCACGAGCAATACCGCTAGCCATGATAACCATGAGAAAATCAACTCATGGGTTTCCTTTTCTTTCCTATATGAGTATGGGGCTCCGTTTGGCAGCCCTTCGGGCCGCCGGAGCTCCGCCAACATAAAATCTCAGATACATGTATATATAGGCTCCCCTGTGATGGGAATTGAAATCCTTTATGTGGATGGCCTAAGAGGTACGGAAGTTGCCCTCTCCTCCCCTTCCCCTCCACTGTATAGTCTTATTTTGGAACTCCCTCTGCCCTTTCCACCACGGGATTAGTAATGATCACTACCTTTTCTTGTGCAGCAGGTCTGTGAGGGAAGCTCCATTCTACAACAACAGAGGGAGTGATCATCAGTTTTACTCAAACCCCGAGGACATCAGGAAACATGTCCGCCCACAGAGCTGGTACGGAGCTCAAACCACGGAGAGAAAATCTAAAGAGAGACCCCAGAGCATTCACGAAATTTCACTGGATCGTAGCAAACAGAACAGCTCTTTTAATCATGGACATGATTACGGCAGTGCACCTTATGAAGGGCATTCATCAAGGTCTGGACTTAAGAGTGCTCGCTTTAGAGACCGAAGGAACAGACAGTTTGAGTCATCGAGATCTTTATCCTCGAGTTATAGCTCACAAGTAGGGTCATCTGCTGACGAAGGAGAAAGAGATCACCATGGAGTCTATTCTGCTTATGATATGACTGAAAGATCTCCTTACGGGTCGCTCGTGCTAAGGCGTTACAGCCAATCAAGTTTGAGCTCTTCCAGCGCTTCTTGGCAACAGTCCACCAACTCGCTGAGTCATCACGCTGTTAGAGGACAGTGGGGATCTGGGTCTTTAGGTTCCAATTCCCCGGAGAAATTCCACGGACATAGGGACCATCAACGCCAAACAACGCATAAAGCAGTTTTTCTGAAGAACTCTCCCAAGATTTCCGAACACGTTTCACCTACAAATGCGACTTTTATTTCCGCGGTACCTGCCGATCATTTCTCAGGTCATAGAATTCGCGTCAACGCCCAACCTCATCGGTCTCACAATCCTCGTGTGTACGCTCAAGCAACGCCTTATTCGTCCAGTCAGCATATCACGACATCTGTTCCAGCTCGATCATATAGTCACGACGTCACGCATTCCTCCGATAGCGTTACACAGGTATTCCCAAATGTCACGCAAGTCTCAGTTACGCACGAACAAGAAGACAAGCAACTTAGTCCTTCGGTGAAAGATTTAGCTAAACGTTTCAGTGGCGAGTTTTTCTCTGAGTCTTTTGAGGAACTGCAGTATCAAATGGATGAGAGAGATCGGAGGAAAGTTAAGGCACAGACCTGGCCAAAGTTTGCCTACGTCCACTCTCCCAAAGATCGGGTTCTTAGGGTTGAAAAAGAGCATTCGTTCGATGAGGCGCCTCCTAAACCGCCTTATCCTCAGAGCATTGAGGAAGACATGGCTGTTATCGAAACGAACGTGGAATCGAAAATAAGCAGCAACGAAGCGGACGGTCTGCTAAAACCTTCTGATAAGAGTTACATCGTCACTGCCCACGAGCAATGGAGTAGCATTGATGGTGCTCTAAACGCAGACATGCTGGCATCCCATCGATTAAGTCTTCAAGAACTTATCAAGATACACGAGAACGAGATTGCCAAGCAGGCCAAAAGTGCCATGGCAACTGCACATGCGCAGATCTACCTTAAGCGTCCACCGAACGAGTGTAAGGCAAGGAACGCGCAAAGCCCACCGATGTCACCTCGCGAGAATTCATGGGATAGAAAGTGGGATGGGGCGCCGCCACAGTTTGGAGTTGTTAACAGAGACAACCGTAAGCCAGTCGTTGCTCAATATGAGGTGACAGATCTGAAGCCGGTCGATAGAGCACCTATCAAGGTTATTGAGGTCACTGAAAAGGGCAGCACAACTTCTGTTAACTCTGAAATGCGAGAACGACTCCCTGTGAAAGCTAAACGGCATCGCACAATTGGTGTTGTCGGGTTTCGACAGCAAATCGATCGCGTATCCGAGGAAAAGGCCGAGAATAAACCGAAGCGACACACGGCGATCGGGATTGTAAGCGTGAAGGCGGTGGCAACGCCAGAACGTCAGTTGGTGAAAGAAGAGACAGTTATCGTAAGCCATGTAGGTTATGGTCTCAACATGGTTTCCGAAAAGGGACTAGACGGCCTAGACAGCGGACAGAGGGACAATGCTGAGTTAGTGAACCAAGATTCTCGACAATCAGCAGGCAATCTGCGAACTAAACAGCATAAAGAGTACGATTTTCATGCAGAAAGGGCCAAGCGAACTGAGATGCAAGATGAAGACGCACTGGATGAGGTTTTCCAGCGTGATGAAGATACAATACAGGTCGTACGCTCGCAAGGCGTCGTTCAAGTTCGGCCGGATTCCGATCATAACCGAGAGCGTAAGACAGCGAGGTCGGATGAAATTGCGAAAGGCGATGGATTAACCAGAATTGCCGTTGCATCTCCTGACAAGCCAAGTCAACCAGTTGAACCGTTTAGCACTAAGCCGTCAAACTTGCATTTCCACAAGTCAGATGCTCGAACATGGAATGTAGCGGTTTCAAGTCAAGCTTATAACTACCCTAAACCATACACCATCTCCAAAGCTGTTCCCGTGGCCCAGGTCTCTCCTGTTAGTCCAGCTCTTGAGCAAACATCCAGAGCTACCCTTAGTAGAGACAATCTTGCAGAGCCCTCTCCACTTTCCCGATCACAATCAGCAAGAGAGATGTATGAAACTAGGCTCGCGTTATGGAATTTGTACCCCCCTGACACCAGCCCCGAGATACATTCGACTGAAACTTCGGGCAACACAACATCACAGGAGAAAATTATCGTCGAAACCGAACCTATTCGTTTAGGGTCGGAGAAGGTTTTGCATGCACCCAAACAAACATCGATTCGCGAGAACGAGCCGAGAGGGATTGTACGGCAGGACATGGAAGAATACTATTTGAATTTGATCGAGAAATTGAAAAACGAGAACAAGGACTTGATCTCGAAGCACGAAGCGGAGAAACGGGAACTGAGACAAAAGTACGAGGAACAAAGGAAAGTGGCGAACGCTTATCAAAAGCTCGAAGACCGCTATCGTCGCCGTGTGCACGAGTTGCAGGAAGCTTTGTCAGGTTGCACGTGCCAGAGTCCATTTGTCAATCAAACTCACGTGAACGTATCGCAGAGTTTGAGCAATCGGTAAGTGAACGTGGCTATCAGGGCACGGTTTTGATGAAGACTAGTTTATAAACCAAGGCCAAAGTACTACTTAAAATCATACATGCATTACTTACAAAACGTTTAATTTTCGGACACACTTTTTATCTCATTTCGGACAAATTTCGGACAAAAATTCGGGCACTGTTGGAACATTGCGTGAATAAATTTACGACTTCTCAACACGAATTAAACTGAAACGACACCTGTGAAAATCATACTTTTACTGCACCCTCAAGGTTTTAGAAAGCACTTATGAGAAAATAACGCTTTGGCGCTACTTAAAAGTTACTGTAAATATTTCGGACGATTAAAAGTTTCGGACGGTTTTATTTTCGGGCACTTTTTTGTCCGAAATTAAAATCGTCTGAAATTTTTTGCACGTAACATAGTCAATTATTTTAGCCGCGAAAGAATGTGCAACAAATCTCTCAAAAATAACAGTTTAAAGAAAGATGATATTATCCAACGCCACTTAGTGAATTAAAAACGCGCGAAAAAGGCACATCTACCCTAAAAGAGAAGTTAAACAGATTAGTTATAGTTAATGCCGAAAAAAGTTCAAGAAAGGATAGACGTTTTCAGTGAGTAGTTATGGCTGTAAATTTTGTTATTATTAGTATTTTTTCCGAAATACCCAGACAGGCAAACATATAGAAAAGAGAAAATTATATATTGTATCTCAAAATTGTCTATTTTTGGTTTGTATTTTGTTTCGCTCTACGGGCTCGCATAATAATTATAGTTAATAATTATTATTGTGAATTATTATCATTATCATCATCATCATTATCATCATTATCTTTTTTTCAAAACACGAAATTAATCATGTGAGTTTTTATCATTTTTTCTTTCTGTTTAGAAGCGATAAGGACGGAGACAGATCAGCAGCCTCGAGCATCAAAGGAATAAAAATTCTTGACGACCTCGACGACTGGTTGAGCGAACACTCCAAAAACAATGGTGCTTCTTCTAAAAAGAACAACAACACAGCAAGTAGAAATAGTCTGATCAGCACCTCGTCCGACATGACGGGGACCGCGTCCGCCTGGGACGAGCTGTACGATCGTCTCAGAGCCACTGGGGAGATTGATGTCGAGAACGGAACGCATGTGTGACGTCACAGTGCACGGACGCCATGTTGGTTCAGGTGACAGTAAGGGCATGTTCTATTAAAGCCAACTTCTTCAACGACAACCAGCTTTAGATGATTGGGTTTGAATTTAACCTGACAATCAGATGTTGTAAAGTAAAACTCTCGCGTACTATCAGTTTCTTTGGGCATATGCTGTGATTTGGTCAGACTTTTTTCTCGCAAAAAAGTTGTCCAAAACTTGTCCCTTCAACCGACGTTTTGATGAAGATGTTTGAACTTGGGGTGGCTAATTGATCAGGCAATGAAAACGTTTGATCATTTAGCAAAAGGCTGGGGTTTCCGAGTTGCCTTAGCCTCTCTTTTAAAGCGAGGCCTGGTGCAGAACCATTCATATGAAAATGAGTTTGATTTGCATGTGAATGAAATTTCATTTTCTTATAAAAGGTGGACACCAAGACTCGCTTTGAGAAAGAGGCTAAAGGTAATTCGGAAATGGCATATTTCCCTTATTTCGATAGAGATTTAGAAATGCAGTAGATAATGCTTTAGAAGTCCCCCTTATCTCCTTTATCGTCGAAGTTTCATTGCTTATCAATCAAGTCCATTTGTCACTACCATGGGTAGGTAGAAATTAACCTAAGTAAACATGATTACCGCTTTGGGTACGCATTCTCTTCAGGCACTCTGATTTTAGTTTGTTTTGTCAAGTTTTCGTGTAGTTTTTGTCCCAATGCTTGTGTTAGCTCTTATTTATAGCGTGTAAATTTCTTACTCGACCTCGTGGCTCCAAATTATAAATCGATTTAAAAGAACGTCGGGAAATTATATAAAAACAATATAATAGGTTTAAAACTAATTTGCCAAATAATGCTTCAAATAAATGCTGTAAATAAGACATATTAATTGGAAAGATGGTCCTATGATTCTCAAAATTGTTAAAAATTAGTTTTACTAGAAAAGTAAAAACTATAATGAGAACGGATTGGTTGTTGTTGTTGTCGTTGTTGTTGTTTTTGTTTGTACCTGGTACAAGCACGATTTGAGAGCTAGTAAGAGAGTCCTAGTAATGACTGTCGTTTCTCGGTTTGAATAAGGGCCTGACCGCCAAAGAAGGTATTGTTGCAAAATCAGCAGAAACACTGCAATGTTTCCCCGTTTTTAGCCGCACGTCAAAAATTTGTGTTTGAATTGCTTCAGGAACATTAATATTTTGCATCATGTTTGCGAGAAGTTGCTTTCGCAAGGTATGTTACCTGAGATAGTAACCATGTACGTACGAGCCTCAGAAATGGCCCCAAATACGCAGTAATGCTATCTAGCTTTGATGTCCCCAGAATATAATTCCGGTAAGACTTCTTGTTCATCCCAGAGTTGCAATCCAAAGAAACATGGGAATGCCCTGTGAGCCGCCACACCTGCAATTTATAGTAGGTTTTTTTTTCTCTTCTTGTTTGTTTGGTTTGTTTGTTTTTTTTTCATCAGTGATGGACATGGAAAGACCTACTACAACCATTGAGCGAACAGAACATATAATATATGCAAGCTTTGTTTAATTGATGCTGTATCAGATTACAATATAACCGTCTACAGCAACTTGTAAACTACAGTGCCGTGAAAGCTATTTACCGAGGTGACCCGTACATTATATCTCTAAGAGCTTATAACTTTAACATATATGTGTTGCTTAAACTAGTGTTCTTGCTCAGTTTCATTCCTAGCTGCTCAAAGTTAGTTTGCCCGGAAGTAAAGGGTGAGACCAACTTCCGGTCGAGGGACATTGCAGTATGAGTCATAGAGAGCATCTACGCCAAACTGGTTTGCAGGACCGTAACTCGTGCTGTGCCCCGCATTGCACATACCATGGCCAATATTCAGCGTGGTCAGGCAGTCGCAGTTGTCGTCATCCATCAAAATGGACTTGACTCCGTTCTGCACTCGATACATGAAGGAGTCTTGTTTTGCTTTTGGTTTTGTTCCTTTCAGGACCACTGGATCCCAGCCGTCTTGACTGTTGACGACTTTCCCGGCGAGAGTGACCTGGTGGTCATGGAAAGCCAGCCAGGCAGCATGCGCAACAGCATTGTCAGGGTCGAACTTCCAAAGATACTCGCTTCCTTCGGAGTCAATGGCAAGCATTTCCGTGGAGTCCTCCCTCGCCCAGGATGGAATTCGACCAAAGCAGTACACACTGTACGAGCTGCAGTAGCCATAGGGATAAGCTAACACATCTTTCTCATCAGTGGGCCAGGTTGCACCGGCGGTCCACCACCAAAAGGCCAGCCAATTTCCGCCGTGCGTGCACAACGTGGGGTGGTGCACCACCTCTTCGGACATGGAGTAATACAACGTCAAGCCAACACTAGGTCGTGGTGTGTTGCAGTAATCATCGTAGAGGGCATCAACGCCATACCTGTTTACAGGACCATAGCTTGTGGAAAATCCAGCGTTGCACATGCCGTGTCCAAAGCTGAGGGTTGACAAACAATCGCAATTGTCATCATCCAGTAGAAGGGACTTGACACCAGTTTGTGATCGGTACATGAAGGAATCTTGGTCGGCTTTTGGTTTAGTTCCCTTCAACACCTTAGGATTCCACGCTTTGTTGTTGATTACCGTGTTGTAAGGTGTTTCTTTGTGATCGTGTAAGGCTTGCCAGACTGCATGTGCTGTTGGGTTTCCAGAAGAGAACTTCCACATATAGACGTTTCTATCGGTGTCAATAGCTAACAGCTTGGTTTTGTCTTCTTTGGCGCCTGATGGAAGCCTTCCGAAGCAGTAAATATCAGTTTCCTTGCATGTACCATGAGGTTTCTCCAAAACGTCTGTTACGCCTCCTGGCCACTGTCCGTCCTTTGGCCACCACCAGAAGGCTGACCATTTGTGTCCATATCCTTCAAACGTAAACGGCTGTTCCGGAACTTTGAAGTAAATAACCAGGCCATTTTGAGGGCTAGGAAGATTGCACACAGGATCATATAGAACGTCCACTCCACGGCCGTTTGGATCAAGCTGGTTACTGCAAACGGTTGCTCCAAGTTGGAGTGTTGAAAGGCAGTCGCAGTTGTCATCGTCAAGAAGCACAGACTTTACTTTGTTTGCACTTCGATACGTGAATGAATCCTGATCAACAGCAGATGATTTTCCTTGGAGAACTTTGGGATTCCAAGGAATCTGGTTTAAAACTGCACCAGCCGCTGTCTCTGTGTGGCTATGAAACGCGTTCCATGCAGCGCTCGCTGTTGGATTAGAATCATTGAACTGCCACTGGTAGACGTTCTTTTGCGAGTCTTTCGCCAAGATCACAGTAGAATCCTCCTCGAGCCAAGCAGGAAGTCGCTGAAAGCAAAAGGGATCACCGCCCGAGCAAGTTCCATATGGGTGTTCTAGTACATCATCTTCTAATTTCTCAGACTCACAGGCGGACCACTCTACACCAGCATTCCACCACCAGAACGCTCTCCATTTTCCACCAAAATCGTGTAAATCTGGACGACGAGCGCGATAGTAAAGCGTTAGACCAATATTTGGCACTGGACCATGACAACCATTATCAAATAGGGCGTCAACACCAAAGACATTTGCTTTACTGAAGCTAGTAGAATGGCCATCGTTACACATACCATGACCAAGATTAAGGGATGAGTAACAGTCGCAGTTGTCGTCATCGAGTAACAGCGATTTCACACCGTTTTGTTCACGATACATGAAGGAGTCTTGATTTTTGGACGGTGCAGTTCCATTGAGCGCCACTGGATTCCAAGGGCTCGAGTTGAGGACATCTTTGTTTTGAGATTCTTGATGATCATGAAATGCAAGCCAAGTGGCATGTGACACTGGATTCTTGGGATTGAACGCCCATTTGTAAACTGTTCCCAACGAATCTACAGCTAGCAGCTCTGTGTCATTTTCCTTGAGCCACGAAGGAAGACGCTGGAAGCAATGGACATCAAACTCTTTGCAAGATCCATAAGGATTTCCAAGGATGTCTGTGACATGTCCTGGCCAAGTTGAGTCTTTCTCCCACCACCAGAAAGCCCTCCAACCTCCGCCAAAGTCCTCCATTGTGAGCTTTTTGACAGTTCGAAAGTAAAGGGAAAGCCCATAGCTTGGAGATGGTCCATGACAACCTGGGTCGTACAGTTTATCGACACCAAATACATTAACCGAGCTGTACTTGGTAGAGTGACCTGCTAGGCACATTCCATGACCCATACTCAAAGTAGACAAACAGTCACAGTTGTCGTCATCGAGGAGAAAGGACTTAACGCCATTCTGATCCCGATACATGAAAGAATCTTGAGTTGCTTTGGGCTTGGTTCCTTCCGTAACCAAAGGATCCCACGCCTTGCTGTTTACGATTTTTCCAACAGGTGTTTCCAGATGATCGTGAAGAGCTTGCCACACGGCATGGGCAGTTGGGTTCTTAGAGTCAAACTTCCACTGATAAACAGTTCCTTCAGAGTCGATGGCAAGCAGTTCAGTTGAATCTTCTTCAGCCCAAGAGGGAAGTCGCTGGAAACAGTACAGATCGCCGAGTTTACAAGTACCATGGGCGTTCTTCAGGACGTCGGTTTCACCTGATGGCCAGGTTTGTCCCGGTGACCACCACCAGAAACGTTGCCACGAGGACGTGTCAAAGGCGGAGGTCGATAACACAAAAGCAAACACCACCGTTTGGATGCATAACACTGAAAAGGCTCCTGTAGAAAAGACGACACGACAACTCATTATAAGAGGCTAGCTATTGTCAACACTGACAGGGTCGGGCTAATCTTTCTTTGTGCCATCCCCTCCACTTACAATTTCCCCCTCGTTTGTTTGTTTGTTTGTTTGTTTTTAGAAATATAAGCTGATCGTGGGAAAGTTAGTTAACAAAAAGCTGTCGTGTATAACCCTATCCGTATTAATTTATGCTGGTAATCGTGCAGTATTAGTTCAATGGTTGTCAGGGTAAGTTCTTTTTAAAAACTGGAACAAAAGAAAAATTTATTTTCTCACCCAGTTTCTGTCGAATTAGAAATCAGGTCAAGGTGGCAGTTAAAATTCTCACCTCGTTCATTGCAAGCCAGCTGCTAAGTTTCCCTACCTTAGTTTAGACCATTAATGATTCGCCGATCACACAACTTGGGGCTGCATAACCGTGAACTTCCCTTTTTATCAATGGTTTTTTTTTGTGTACGTGACATGCTTCGCCATAATCTGGTCATTGCACACTGTCTTGACTGCCTTATTGGCTCAAAAAGAACCGGAAATATCCGCGCATCAAATTAATCACGCACTGAGTTAGAAAAAGTGGCTGTGAGTCACTGAACTTGGAAAATAAATTATGAAAGGGTGTTATGAGGCATTGCTCAATAAGGAACTGCTTGTGATGTAAGGGCAGTCTAGCTTTCCAACAAGCACATAAAGCCTTTTTCCATTCAAAGGTGTGTTGTGATATTTGCAAAATGAAAAAGTTCAACGTTAAGAAACTGTTTGTTACTCAGGCCTGCCTAC